TTCTCCGCCGTTCCTTCTGGGGGGAGTACTGTGGCGGATATGAATATCGTCTTCCTGAATAATTCTAGAGAAATCCAAGGAGGAGTTTCCAGATCAGCTGATATAAAATCATGTGTTAAAGATTCAATAATCTTACTATATAAGTTAAGTTTTTAAATAAAGTTAATCGTTGAGTAACTCTTTTCCTTTAAGGTTGTAGCACGCCAAAATAGATAGAAATAAACATAGATAGATTATAGAAACATAGATAGACAGATACATAGAAATATGAAAATTGAAATAGACTCACATATAGATTATATATATACTTTTTCCCGATCCAAATTCCATTAAAGGGATTGTATACACGTAATTATAAGTGCCCAATTGACAAATGGTAACCTTTGAACCATCTTTTCAAGTAACATGAGAAAATTATTTTCTATTTTATGCTGAATTCTTATAATCTTCAGGATTTTTATAGAGAAACCACATGTTTTTGAAAATCAATTTTCAGAAAGATAATTATAAAATTTCTCACTCATCCATGATCAGTTACTGTTGTAAATCGGACAAGCCACTTGCTCACTATGAATGGAGGATCACCTGAAATTACGTGTTTATTCCCTTTAAGGTTTCTACCTACGGCTAGTTTTTAAAACAGGTTTTTCAAGATGGTTTAAGATATATTCATCTCTGGCATTTCAGTCTCAACTTTAGTTCAAGATTTAAATCTAAATTCACAATTAAAACTGAAGACAAGAAAAGAAAACCTGAAAATTATTAGTTTTGAGAAAAAATTTTGAGAAAAAAAATTTAATTTTTGCATCCAACTCTGATTTTCTAATCCCTTTCTCTTGCAACTCCGCAAACTATGAATTCTGTGACAAAAAAACTTTAAGTTTGAAATATCTAAGGTTTATCTAACTTTATACCATCATATGTAGTTTTAAAGATATAGGGATCAGAAAATTAGAGTCTGTGGCAAATACTCAATTCTTTTCCTGAAAAACGGATAAAACTGAATGTGAAATGTACATTTTTGCCTTTTTTAACACACTGTCAAAGCATTTTAGACACTTACTCATTGCTGCTTATATTATTTTTACTTTTGTAGATATCTCGTCTATTAAACATTGCTATACACATATAGATTAGAAGTTAATAAACTGCAGAGTTTGAGTTGTAAAAAATCTTGTTTTTCGAACTTGTTAAGTCCTTTGTTCATTTACATATAAGATAATATTATTTTACTAAATCATTATCATAAAATACGAAGAATATTGGTAACAATAATGATAATGATAATGATAATGATAATGATGATGATAATGATAATGATAATGATAATGATAACGATAATGATAATGATAATGATAATGATAATGATAATGATAATGAAAATGATAATGATAATGATGATGATAATGATAATGATAATGATAATGATAATGATAATGATAATGATAATGATAATGATAATTATAATGATAATGATAGTGATAATGATATTGATAATGATAATGATAATGATAATGATAATGATAATGATAATGATAATGATAATGATAATGATAATGATAATGATAATGATAATGATAATGATAATGATAATGATAATGATAATGATAATGATAATTATAATGATACTAATGTTTTCAAAAAATGTAAGCCAAACCTTTTCTAAAATTTTAGGAATAATGATGAAAATCTATTTATAGAATCAGCTGTTGATTTATCAAAATGGCGCCGACGCCGCAAAGCACTTTAGCTGTTCTCTCTGCCTCTATCACAGGGAAAGAGAATAATCCTGGCGAAGGAGTTTCTGTACTTGTATTCTTTGTAAATGGGAAAAAGGTAATTTGTCCAGTTTACCAAAATTTCCACTTAAAACAAAATTAATCTTATCTAAGATTGAATTCTTAGCTTTCTTTAGCCTAAGACCTTTCTCTAAAAAGGTATAAAATATTGATGAGAGAGAAATAGCTTTTAAATCCATATGTGAACCTTAAACAAATTTACTATTTTCAATATTGTTTGTTTGATTAATACTAGGGGTGTACAAGGTCACAAAGTCGCACAATTATGAATTCAGGTTGTAGATGAGACTCCTGACCCTGGTATGACCCTGCTGACCTACCTGCGATTAAAGTTACGACTGTGCGGGACAAAACTAGGAAACTATTTAAATTCAAAACACGGTTTATTCTAGCTTTAATTACACTACAGTGCGGTGTTAGGTGTTTTTCCCTTGGCATTTTCCCAAGGGCAACTTTGCAAGTGACAATTGCCCAAGTGGCAACTTCCCAAATGTGCAATTTCCCAAGCGGCAACTTCCCCTAGGTTAAGCCTTGTGAGGTGCCTCAGGCTGCAATTAAGGAGCCGAGTGCTGCCGCTAAAATGGGCTAGTGGGCTGAGTGCTGCGTCTAGAACAGCCTAGGGTCCGAGTGCTGCAGCTGGAACAGGCTAAGGGGCCTAGCGCTGCGGATTGCACAGTCTTGGGAAGTTTCCGCTTCGTAAATTACCACTTGGGAAAATACCTATGGGAAATTGCTTAAGAAAAAGCCTTTGGGAAAGTACATAACATCTACAGTGCTAACAGAGGCGTTAATTCTTGTTGGGTTACTCAGTAAAAATTATGTCTGCATTAGTCCCTCAAAGAAAAGAAAGTGATGATTTTAAATAAACTCAGGTTGCGGGGAGGGAGGGTGTGGAGCATGTACAGTAATGGTCAGCAAGTATGACAGGTATCTGTAAAAAGACGTACAATGGAAGAAACAATTTATATGTTTTATGAGCCACCCTGTATGATATTTTATTTTATTTCAGGTTTAAGCAAGCAACAGTACATCTCTCTGTAAATGCCTGCTTAGGTAAGTTAAACAATAAAACATTAGAATACTAATTTTTAAATTAATCATATGTTAATTGAAAAATGAGTTTTCAATTGAATCATCTTTATTTTTTTCTAAATCTTATTTGCATTCCATTCACCCATCAGATTTATCAAATCCTTATCTAGTATTCTGTAGTTTAATTTTGGAGTAAGTTCTTGTTTTATGTTCATATTTTTCAAAAGCTTATACACTTGTATTTTCTATTTATTACCCTTTTTCATTTCAGCTCCAGTGGTTTCAATGCACGGTCTTGCAGTCACCACTGTTGAGGTATTAATTTCTAAACTTGTTTTTCTTCAGTCAAAATTTTATGTCTGTACATCTTAATTTGAACAAACATCATCATCTTTTAGGGAATTGGAAATGCTAAGCAACGGCTTCACTCTGTTCAGCAAAGGTAAGATTTAACGACTTTTAATAATCTAACAAGTAACGTCATGAATAATAATTGTTAAGGCTGGCAAACAGCCATGGAAGCCAGTGCGGGTTCTGTACTCCAGGCATTGTGATGTCTATGTATACATTACTAAGAAACAACCCTTTACCCTCGATGAAAGAAATGGAAACTTATTTTCAGGTATTAAGGTTTTACACTTTTTAATGGTTGTTATCCGTAAAAGTCTATCTCTGATTTTCCACTTAAAAATAAAAATGCGCTCACACTAGGGTTTCCAGTGAACGAAAACTTTTACGAAAAAATGTGAAATTTTTTGTTGATATTTTGCAAATTTTTTCGAGAAATTTTTTTTTTTTCAAAATTGTCACAATTTTTGGCGAAACAGGTCTAAAAAGCAAAAATGTTCACATTTTTCTTGAGCAGAAGAAATGCAAAAAACCCTAGATCCCACGAAGGAATTTTTTTCTCTGTGGGTAATGAAAGATATTTAAAAAATTTCATTACTCTATTTGAATCTCCTTCTAGTGTTATTTGACCCAGGCATAAGTAATTGAGGCCAGGGATTATGCTGAACTGATCAGTTGGGGTCAGAGGCGCAACTAGGTCTTTTGCTAGGGGGGGGCAATATATTATTTTGTAAGTGTCAGGGGGGGGTAAAGGGGGGTGTCCCCCCCTTTTCGAAAATTTTTCCAAAACAAAAGTGTTTTTTTAAGGGTTTGTTCTTGTGTTTTTACAAAATTTATACTTCTAACAGCTGTAAAATGAATGATGAGTCAATTCATTAAATATCTGTGCGAATCGCAAAAGAGTATTTTTTAAGTACCTGGTTTAATTACAGATTAAATTGCAAGAAATAATCATTTATAGTTTCTGGAAAAAAAACATAAAAATACATAGGTAAATGATAAATTCAATCATCTACATGGAAAAAGGACAGATAATGTTACCTTTTTTCTTGAAGTTATTAAATTAATGATTGATCTAACCAACATTCATAATCTAAATTCATTTTCGATTTTTTAGAACTTCTGTCAAAGAAGATAAATCTTGTTAGTTATCAAATATGATAATCAGTTAGAAATTTGCCAGGTTCAGAATTTTCTCTAGATTTGGAACTGAGTTTTTGCCACAAACTCAAATATTCTAATCCCTAAATCTTTGCACCGAGTGGTGTAAACATTTGATATTTCAAACTTGGAATATTTTACCAAAAGAATTCAAAGTTTGATATCTACGACATTGGGTTGCAAAGATAAAATTAAAGGAATTAAAATATCAGAGTTTCTGGCAAAATTTCAATTCCTTTAAGGAGAATTAAAATGTACTTTAAAAAAATATCTTATGATTAAAAAAGAACAATTTAACAATATCTGTCCTTCAACAATGGAATATTCTAGGGCTCGTGGATGCATATTTACAAAGATCTTGACAATTTTATCTGTTGGCAGACACTGTGCTCTGTCTCTATGAGTATGAATTCCTGCTAGATTAGATAGTCTAGAATTTCCCATGCTTGATCTTAACCAAGTGTTTAACCCCTCCTGAACGTAGAAAAAGACCCCTCTGCCTCACAGCTAGAGACAGGAAGTGTTTTTACTACTTTCAGCATGGTGAATAAGTTTGGGAATATTGGAGGATTTATTTCCTGCAAATCTTCGTCTAGATTTGTTGGAATGGCTTTGCTCCCTCTTATCTCCAGGTTGCTCTTGTATAGTACAAGTTCGGTCCAGGAAGAGTAAAGGATTTGGAAGTAAAGACTGATAAAACTCTAAACTCTGAAAGTTTACTCTTGAGATCAGCCAGGGTATGTGAAGCTATTTTCTCTTGTAACAAGTAAAGCAAACCCATGGCCTTTGATGTTATTGGAGCAAATCTCTCATCTAGCTGCATTATAACAGTATCCAAGGGACAGTTTGTACTCTATAAACTCAACACAAATAAAATACAGTTCAGAACTTTTTTTTACATTAAATGTTTACAATAGCCTTTAGCCTTGAGAATTGAGAAAGATAAAAATATTTTTTTAAAACTAACTATAGTATAATAAAATTTCTACAATAACTCTATTGGTTTTCTTATTCCTGTGATACTGATTTTCGCCATTCTTTCTTTCTTTTCATTCTGCAAGGGGGGGCGCCCCCCCCTTTCAGGTACTAGGGGAGGGCGCACGCCCGGCCGCCCCCCCCCCTAGTTGCGCCTCTGGTTGGGGTGCAATTACTAACTTATAGGACTAACAGAAGGACCCACGAATAGTAAATATACCTAACTTTATTGCACTAAACCAAATTCAATATTAGTGTTCTAAAGTTTGGATTGCCGTAGTGTAGATGCTAAATGACAGTTGATCTTTCTTAAGGGAAATCTATGTCGATGCACTGGATACAGACCAATTCTGGAGGGTTTCAGAACCTTTACAGAAGAGTGGGCAAAGTATGGGAAAAGAAGTTCTATGGAAGGTTGTGGAAGAAAAGGAGGTTGCTGCAAGGTAACACATTTGTAAACCTTTGATTTCTTATACTTATGGAACCATGTGGCTTTATGTATGGCATGCTTTTCAATTTTGAGTTCAAATCTAACCTTTTTAAGGAAAAGGGAAATGCTGGTGGATGTGATCTGACTGAAGAAGATGATTCACAAGAACTATTCCAGACCTCGGAGTTTGTTCCATATGATGCCAGCCAAGAACCTCTATTTCCTCCGGAACTCATTGCATCTGCAAAACTAGATGAGCAGTTCCTAACTTTCAGGTTTATTTCCAATACCACAATTTTAAATTGAAAGTTTGCAATTAGTTAATGACATATTTAGGGGCAAAAATATGACTTGGTATCGTCCTGTTTCTACCTATCAGCTGCTGAATCTTAAACAGATGTATCCAGAGGCTAAAGTAAGAATTTGTATATTTCATTACCAAGATAAGTCACTTTTCAATAATGATCTAATTTACAGATAGTGGTTGGAAACACTGAGCTTGGTGTAGAGGTTAAGTTCAAGCATTGTGAATATCCGGTTTATATAAACCCATCTTTAGTGCCTGATCTTACAGCTATCAAAATAGAAACTGATGGGGTTGTTTTCGGGGCTGGAGTTACCTTATCAGAGATTGAGGAGACTTGTTTTCAAGTTATAAAGAATATCCCAGAAGAAAATTCTAGGATATTTCAGCAAATTGTTGAAATTCTCCAATGGTTTGCAGGTGAGGATTGAGTAATATGCAATACTTAAGCTAATCAATTTTAATCTATTTTTGCGAGGCTAAATATTCTAAAACATTATATTTTTTTTCTTCAGGGAAACAGATTAGAAATGTAGCAGCAGTGGGAGGAAACATCATGACAGGAAGTCCAATCTCTGACTTAAATCCAATATTCATGGCCTCTAAATGCACTTTGAGAATTGCAAGCATTTCCGAAGATAAACAAGTCTTCTTTGATGAAAACTTTTACACTGGATACAGGAAAAACATTGTTGGCCCCTCTGAAATCTTGGTAAGTATCAAAGTACCGTTTACCAAAGAAAACCAATTTTTCTTTGCTTATAAGCAAGCAAGAAGAAGAGATGATGATATTGCTATAGTGAATGGAGCATTTAGTGTCACCCTCAAGAACGAAGGGACAGATCATGTGATATCAAGCATTCAAATGGCATTCGGTGGAATGGGTCCAACTACTCTCTTGGCAGTGAAGAGCTCACTACATCTTCAAGGTCAAAAATTCAATGATAATATTGTTGAGCTGGCCTGTGATGCCTTGAAGAATGAGCTTAGTCTTACACCAAATGCACCAGGAGCAATGATAAGATATAGGCAATCCCTTGTACTTAGCTTCTTTTTCAAAACTTTCTTGGCTATTAGAAAACAACTAGGATATGACCTTGCTAATGAAAACTCTGCAGTTGAAGTCTTTGAAAAGGAGCCATTGCACTCCCATCAACTATTTGAGGTAAAAAACGATGCTGCAACAGTTGGAGCACTTGGTAAACCACTGAAACATAAAGCAGCTGACCATCAAGTGGCTGGCACTGCTCAGTATACAGATGACATGCCTCATATTGAGGGAGAGTTGTATGCTGGTCTAGTTCTAAGCTCTAAAGCACATGCTGAGATTCTAAGTATAGACACATCAACAGCACTTGCAGTTCCTGGAGTGGTTGAATGGGTAGATAGTACAGATCTGAAGGAAAGAAATGAATTTGCTCTTGCAATAGCAAAGGATGAACTAGTCTTTGCAAATCAATTTGTTCACTGTTATAGAATGGTGATTGGAGTTATTCTTGCTCAAGACCAAGAGACTGCACAGAAAGCAGCAAGATTAGTAAAAGTAGAGTACAAGGATTTACCAGCTATCATAACCATCGAGGACGCAATCAAAGAAAACTCATTCCATGAAGTTCCAAATGCAGGAATAACTGATGGTGATGTTGAGAGTGTTTTTAAATCTGCTACAAACATTGTAGAAGGTGAAATGAGGACAGGGGCACAAGAACAGTTCTATTTGGAAACCCAGGCTTGCATTGCTATTCCCAAGATAGAAAATGATGAGATTCAGATCTGGTCTTCAACTCAAAATCCTACTTTAACCCAGAATACAGTAGCAGCAGTTCTAGGAATACCAGCCAACAGGTGAGATTTTTAAACATTTTCATTTGAAATTAGTTAATAATAATTTTATTATTTTATGTAAGGGTGTCAGTTCATGTAAAAAGAATGGGTGGAGGGTTTGGAGGCAAAGAGTCAAGATCTGTTCCACTTGCTGCAGCAGTTGCAGTTGCAGCTAACAAAGTTAGCAGGCCAGTGAGGATTATGCTTGACAGGTATATTGTTAAACCATGCACTATTTAAAACCATGTCTTACATTTATCTAATAATTTCTTTAATTAGGGATGAAGACATGTTGATATCAGGCTTTAGAAATCCGTTTTATGGAAAGTACAAGGTAGCCTTCGATGATAATGGAAAAGTGCTTGCATTGGATTTGTTACTATATGCCAATGCGGGCTGGACATTGGATCTTACTTTTTCCATTGTAGAGCGAGCAATGTTCCACTCAGACAATTCATATAAGGTATTCTGATAAAAAGTTCTAGCAATTTTCATATATTTTATTTTCTATCTTCTTATTTACAGGTGCCAAATCTTCGAGTGCGTGGATTTTGTTGCAAAACAAATTTAACTTCTAACACTGCATTCAGAGGATTTGGTGGACCTCAGGGTTTGATGATTGCTGAAACATGGATTGAAAAAATTGCTAAAACACTAGACATTCCTGCAGAAGATATAAGGTAGGACATTAAAAAAGTTTTTTATGTTGAAATATCAATGTAGTTCTAATTTAGAGAAAGAAACCTGTATGAAGAGGGAATGACAACACACTTTAATCAGAAATTGATTAATTGTACTTTGAAAAAATGCTGGGAGGAGTGCAAAACACTATCAAGGTATTGCATCCACACTCAAATAAGAATGCATAAAAGATTGTTTATTCATCTATTTCTATTTTCTATCTATAAATATACTTTGCTTGGATGCCTAGTTTTTAAGACTTGAGTTTGTTTCAGATTTTCGGAGAGACAGAAGGAAATTGAGAAAATCAACTCTTGTAATCGATGGAAAAAGCGTGGAATGTCTATGGTGCCTGTAAAATTTGGCATTGCTTTCACCGCTCTCCATATGAACCAGGTGCTCATGTTTTCTGAATATCTCTGGATATAAGCCCAAAAAGGCAGACCACATTTTGAAAATGCCAGAAATAGGAAAACTTAGTGATACATTATTTAAGAATCCTACATGTAAGAAAGGAAAAATACCTCAAAGTTCTTCAAAGATCACAGATGACTTTTAATTTGTCTTTCAACTGTCATGTTTTATGGGACACCCTGTAGGATTGGGGTGGTAGATTTTTATATATTTATATGGTTACCTTCTAAAAGCTTACTGTCAATTTCAACTTTGGAAAGTATTTTGTCTACAAATAAAACTGCTTTGCAAATATGACAGCTTTATGGGGGAAACAGAGAAGAAAGGTTGAAGTTAAGAAGATTATCAAAACATATTGACATGAATTTCCATAAAGGTGTTTAGAGCTATTATTTTTGTCTAATTTTAAAGAACTTTTAGATTTAATTCCAAGCCCCAATTTTATTGCTTAGCATAACTTTTGTATTTTAAAATTAACCCTTTGTTGGCTTGATGGTTGCAGAATAATTTTTGATAAAAGTTTATTTTTATAAATCTAAAAAACCATTTCTGCAATTAAATTTTGACCTTGAGATGAACAGTTTACCCTTTTATAAATCTTTACTTTTCATTTAACAATATATATCTGGAATCGCTATATCTTGGTTTACCTAAAAGTATTCTGCACTTTCTTGGGTATTAAACAAAACTCAGCCTGAAAAACTCTAAATTAATATCATAGTTCCTAAATTACATGTCTATTTAGCCCTTATAATGTATAATATTTGATTAAGGCTGGAGCCCTGGTAAATATATATCAAGACGGTTCAGTTCTAATATCCCATGGAGGTACCGAGATGGGGCAGGGACTTCACACAAAGATGATTCAAGTTGCCAGTCAGGTCGGTTAAAAAGTAAACCCTAAAATTTAAAAATAGTTAGAATGATTTTTTTTACTTTTCAGGCCTTAAATATTGATCACAATAAAATCCATATAGCTGAGACAGCAACAGACAAGGTCCCAAACACATCTCCAACAGCAGCCAGTGCTGGATCAGACTTGAATGGCATGGCAGTCTTGGAGGCTTGCATGACCATAAAGAAACGATTAGAACCATTCATATCTTCAAATCCTTCAGGTTTCAAAAATGATTTGAACAAAAATCCACAAAGTATTTGTTTATTAATCAAACTTGTTTCAGGTACATGGGAAGATTGGGTAAAGTCTGCATACTTCTCACGAGTAAGCTTGTCAAGCACTGGATTCCATGCTACTCCAGATATTGGCTACGATTTCAAAACCAACAGTGGGAATGCGTTCAACTACTTCACCTATGGAGTTTGCTGCTCAGAGGTGGAAGTAGACTGTCTCACTGGAGACCATCAGGTATAGTAACCAGAATTCTTTATGACATATTCATCATGTGTGAATTTTGATTAATCCAGGTTATTTCTACCCAAATTGTGATGGATCTCGGAGAGTCTATCAACCCTGCCATTGATATTGGTCAGGTGGAAGGAGCATTTGTTCAAGGATATGGGCTCTTTATGATGGAACAAATTTTACACACTCCAACTGGAGTTCTTCTCACTCGTGGACCGGGTGCTTACAAGATTCCAAGCTTCAATGATATTCCAGGTAAATTCAGAAGTCAGAGCTTTGGCAGTGTTCTGTCTTATGATAGTTCTGCACACCCTGAACTAACCAGAGAAATCAAACGTGTTTTCGTCTATATTTCTACAATCTTTAAACTTTCGGATTTGTTTATTTTATACTTTTTCATTTAAAACATGTATATGCTAACAAAAAAAATATTTAAGAGAAAAGGCTATAAAATTACGTAAAAGGGGTCAAATTGTGATCGAAAGTCACAGTTTTCTAAAATATTGACAGAACCGGTAAATCCACGTGTGCAGGGATTAGGTTAAAATAGAGTTTATGATTTGCAGATTATACCTATCTCATTCAAAAATTACAAACTCTGAATTTATATTCAGCATTATTAGAAAATATCGTAATATCAATGACAATGTTTGTTCAGGAGTGTTCAATGTAGCTCTGCTCCGTGGAGCATCTAACCCTAGAGCAGTTTATTCTAGTAAAGCTGTGGGGGAACCACCTCTTTTCTTAGCTGCTAGTGTTTTCTTTGCTGTAAAGGTCAGTAACAAATCAATTTACTGCCCTGCTCAAGTGAACCCTAGTCAAAATACAATCTTTAAAATTACAATACAATTTGTATAAAATAACTAAAAATCTTTTAAATTAACCAAGTAAAACTTAACTATCTGAAAAAGTACTGTAACTGACACTAACTCAAGTTTTGTCTGATTGAAATATATAATTTGTTTGAGAATTAGAATTAAAAACTGGGATACAAATAATACTTTTTCAGAACGCGATTGCCTTTGCAAGAGCAGAATCAGGTGCGCCACCTTATTTTGAGCTGGATGCTCCGGCTACTGCGGAGAGGATCCGCATGGCCTGTGAGGATAAGTTCACCTCTCTTGTTCCCCAGCTCCCACCCTCCGGGTCCTTCACACCCTGGAGTATTCAGACATAGAACTCATTCATCCCTAGTTCCTGGTAGTTTCTCACTCTGGAGTATTTACAAATAGATATTAATGCCTAATTTATAACATATGCTTTAGAAGTACATTTATTGCTTCTAGATATAATTACATGATAAATAACGAGTGTATAAAAGGGGAGGAAGTTGCGAAGGTCTTCTCCGGTTCCAGGTTCCGACACTACTGATTTGCGGATTTCATAATCCTCTTTCGGGGATTTCATCCTCTACAATGTAATATTTTCTATATCTATATAATAAAGCTCTCCGCTCATATATATATATTAATTTGTAAGTATGCATAAATATATATGTTAGCTATAACTGGCAAAACGGCTGGACCGAATGGGCTGACATTTTTTAAGGGAACCCTTTAGTGCCCAAGGAGAAACGCAGGCTAAAAAAATACCGTTTTTTTAAGAAATAAAATTTTTTTTTTTCAAAATTTTTTTTCTTTTAAAATTTAAAAAAAATTATTCCACTTGCAACGCCGGGCACTTCAGCTAATTAACATATATGTAACAAATAAATTTATCCATGTTAAGTTTTAGTTTACAGGTAAGATGATCAATGACTTTTGATTATAATGGAAGTGATTACTCACCTCAAACTCTAGTATTTGAGTCCCTATACTTTTGCAGCCTGATGGTGCTAACATTTTGTATTTTAAACTTTAATTATTTGATAAAGCAAAGTTCGTACTTAAGGACTACGACATTAGGTTCTCAAAATAAAAGAATAACAAAATTCAAGTTTGAGGTTATTTCTTCATTATTGTAAACTACCAGATCTTTTATTTTTCTTGCCGAATCCAATGATTTCAAAGTATTATTTGAGAACATCGAAGAGATTCGGTTTGTTTCTTCAATTGGAATCCAATTGTGTTTGGGTAATTACTTCAACAATCTTTAAATTTATATATTTTACTTTTTCGTATAAAACTCATCCCCCAAACAATTATTTTTAACAGAGACCGAATTTAAAAATTTGAGCCAGGTCTAGATCTGGCTGAACCGCCTCCCGCCGCGACGGTTAAAATTTGAATCACGGAATCAAATCCTTCCTTACTAATTAACTTTAGAACGGTGTTTATAGTTTGAAAACCGGAAGTTGCGACGCAGCTAAAATTCTTTTAAACTCGGTCAATTTGTGATCGAAAGTCATAGATTGCCGGGACAAAGATAGATCTGTGAATCAGCATGATTTAGGAAAATCATTTAGAATACAGGGTTTCCCACAAAGGACAAGACTTCAGAGACGACTCTTCAGGATTGATACTCTCTGTTTTAAAAATATTCATGAGTCCCTGAAACTTTAAACTTCTTTCTTTCTTTTCCAAATCATTGTATAACCCATTTAAAGACCACATGCAAGAATAAAGACTTAATTTAAAGTTAAAATAGTCACATTTGAAGAGTTTCAAGTCGACTCCACAGTCTCATCTTTTAAGGGTAACCCTGTACTAAAATTTCTTATTTGAGCTAGTTCCTAGTTTCTAATACTCCAACATGGGCGAGCTAACAACTTAACATTTTAACAATTAAAATTACAAACTCCTTAGAATAGATATCTATTATAATAGAAAGAGGATCACAACCAATCTACTCTTTTCTAGTTACAACTGTACAGTGATACACATAGAATAATTTTTCACATTTGTTTTACATGCAACAATTTATTAATTATGAAAATTAATGAAAATTAATAAAATAGTTTACAAAGTGCCAAGTGTAAATGTATACAATTCAAACACAAGAAATAAAAACTATGTATATATGTAATACATATACCGAGTGTCCCAAGAAAAATGACAATTGTTATCTAGTTTTATATGTCTTGAAAACGAGATTAAGGCAGGTTTGTAACGATGTTCCAAGGATACAATGTACTGAAATTCCTCTTCAAGATTGTAAACAAGTTCCAAGAGAAGAATGTACCTCGCGGTTCCAATACAGAAATGTAATACTCTTGGTAATCAGTAGTGCAGTACTGTACAGCGTAATGTAACCAACTATGTACCCGATCAGAAATGCAATGATGTATATGGCCAATGTAGCGATATAGAAAAAATGATTGAAGGCCAAACTTATAATTAGAAACTTTTTCAAAAAATGCTAGGGAATATAATTCTATTTTTTAATACTCGGTAAAAAATTACAGATGGTAATTCAGCAACGTTGTTTTGGAGCTTTACTTTCTTTTACTTGTCAAAATTAATCACACATTTACTGTATACAATGCACGATCCGACCGTCGCGTAGAGCCGTAATTTCGTCAACATTTAGTCGATATCTTGTAAATTCACTGCACCATGGGAGATTAGTTTTGTGTATACAGCAGCAAAATCTGGAATCCATTCTGCGTTACTAAAACAAATAAATTAATCAAAATTTTAGTCAAAACTTTTTAAGAGGGATCAGTGCTGTGACATGGGAGTACCATGTCCTAGATCACATTGAACATGGCTAAATACAGTTATATGCTATGGAGATTTCTTGAACTTTTTCTCAAAATTACTGCGTGATACATAAACAATGCAGCAGATTCATAATTTGAGAAAAATCTAAAATCTATTAATTTATATCCGAAGTATGAAACTGAAGAAAAATTAACACAGTTAAATAAAATGAGAAAGGGTTGAAAAAAAAGGTTGGCAAAATGATTATATGCATAATGAACAATTTGTGAAAAAATCTAAATTCTACTAATTTATATCCGGAGTGATAATAAGTGATAATAAAGTGATAAAGGGTTGAAAGAAAAGAAGATTGGAAAAATGATTATCTGCATAATGAAGAATTTGTAAAATAAAAATAGTCTGTCTTGGACAAGAACTTGGTTTGCTTTTAAAACTTTTAAGATTTTGATTCCAACATTTGCTTGAAGATCTTATAAAACTTTGGTGGAATCTCATAAATCTTTGTTTCTCATAAAATTTTGATGGAAAAGATTGTCATGGGTGAACTAGAGAAGTAGTTCAACTAGAGAAGTAGTTCAACTAGAGAAGTAGTTCAACTAGAGAAGTAGTTCAAATAGATAAGTAGTTCAACTAGAGAAGTAGTTCAACTAGAGAAGTTGTTCAACTAGAGAAGTAGTTCAACTAGAGAAGTAGTTCAAATAGAGAAGTAGTTCAAATAGAGAAGTAGTTTAACTAGAGAAGTAGTTTAACTAGAGAAGTAGTTTAACTAGAGAAGTAGTTTAACTAGAGAAGTAGTTTAACTAGAGAAGTAGGTCAACTAGAGAAGTAGTTTAACTAGACAAGTAGTTCAACTAGAGAAGTAGTTTAACTAGAGAAGTAGTTCAACTATCCATTACAAGTCCAACTTCTTCTCGACGACCTAGGCAACCGCTTAAAATATTTGTCATCCCGGTGTCGCGTGGTAAATTGCCAAAATTTGCCGCGTAGAAATATTTGCGTAAAAATCTACCTTGCCGCGTAGAGTTCTACGTAGAAAGCTCCAGCTGATTTAGGGCAGGTGGTATAGGAACAGGAACTAACTCCATCAGAACTCAACGCAACCTCCTACGTTTTTTGAAAACTAAATTTTTACAATGCTTTTTGGCTGTGACTTGAAAGCCCTTTACAATGAACATATAACTTTGATGCTCTTTTTATTTTCATTTTTTACAATTTATAATCTAAAAATATATATTTATAATGGTACCTTGTATATTGCCATGTCTGAGTTTAACATAAAACCAACATTATTCGCAGCATTCCACTGCCATTGGGGTGTAGTGGTATTTCCAACATTACTTAACAAAATTACAATTATACATTTGCTAGTTTTAAATTTCAAACGATTCTCCATTATAGAGTGAATCACAACGGTAATCCTGAAAGCTTTGTCTCATAATTAGAATTACTTGCGCATTTCTTCTGTGGATACAACAGGAGGAATTTGTCAGGGTTATAAACACTCTTTAAGTTTTAAAAATTTCGATATATTCCAGATTTTTGATCAGATAAAGATTTAAATAGTGCCCCCATTTTCAAATGGAAGCTGTTACTTAAATGAAAAAAACAGACTTTTTAAAGATTCTAAAAAGAAAAAGAAATACAAAGACTATTGTTGACATTTTTGAAGTTCTTTTATCTTGTTTTCTTTGCTTTTTTCCTACAGGGTTATCTACAAAGCATCGCAGAGACGACTGTACGGAATTTAAAATGTCTTTTTCCGTATACTGGTAATTCCTTGAAACTTTAAACTTGTTTATATCTTTGCCAAATCATAAAAAGACTATATTAAAGGCAGAGGATTTAATTGCATGCTTTGGAATCATCAAATCTTAAGAGTTTTAAGCCGTCTTTACAGTCCAATCGTTAGTGGGTTACATCGTATTTTCTTTCCTTTCTGATTCCTTTTCCGTTTTTTTTTCAACCCCGTTTGTCTCAGATAATGTGCCCCCCCCCCATTCCTAGCCGCACGGCGTACAGCGCGGCATTCTAGCTCGCAAGAATTAGTATTAATGGCAATTATAACGTTAGCTCAATTTGATAGTCCTATTACCATTGGTACAACCATAGGTCGTATAGGTGGTATCTAGCTATCTACATTCTACACTGCTCAGTGCTCATGTAAAGCGTTACAATAGTGTGACAATGGTTGTACCTATGATAGCACGACTAGGAAATTGGGATTTGTCGAATATTAAAGAACCTCTCTGTTCCCTGTCGTACATAATACTTACTTTTGAACCCAGTTGTTTGACTGATTAGCTAGAATCTGGTAGTATTTGTTGTTAAAAGCTGTATTTTCATTTTCCACCCAGGAACCCTTTAAAACACATCAAATTATATTTTCTTTTTAATAGTAATCATGGCTTTGGTCTTTCCAGTAACCTAATATTGTCTCAAATAAAGGGTAGTTTACGAAAAAGATAAATTTTGGCTTCCCTGTTTGATGCTATGCAAGTAAAACATACTGGGTAATAAATAAGGATCTACTGACTCCTTTGTAATTGGATCTTCAAGGTTGAGACGATTTTTAAAATCTACGTACAGTTTCCGATTCAATGTACCCAATTTTAAGCTTGCATAACAAAAAATCAGTCAAAATGAAAATTAGTCTAACTGAATATTATTCCCCACCTTGAATCCTGAATGATGGTAGTGCGCCTGTCCAATTGTATGAACTCCCATGAGCGCTACAGTTTCTTGTTCCGTAAACCCAAATTTATCATGAAAGTATCCAGCAACTCCTGAGAGTAAAAAAAGTTTGAACAGATGTTATCCCCCTTAAATTCTAAAAACTTAGACAAAAAGACAATTAATGAATCAATAAATTTTGTTTTGTGTGCTTATGTTCTTTTTAATTGTCGTATTTTTGATAGAATTTGAAAATATAGCCAATCATATTCATGGAGCGGAATTAATCCTACTGCGAGGAAAGGGCAGGCGGGTACAAATGTAATAAATATCGGGACACATATTCTGTAAACTTGCAGTACATCGTACATTATTAATTATCTATGTTTGTAAACTTCTACAGAGAAACCATTATTGATTTGAACTGCGTTTCAAATGAATATGAAGCTGGTTAACCTAAACCCTTTTTAATACGCACATTAAACTTATAAACATTTGTGTAGTTAACTTAACTACGTTATATCTATCCTCATTAATCCTATAAATACGCACATCTTAGATGGGCCTATTTCAACTATGCTGTAAAACGTAACATGATTGCCTTAATCATGTGATTGTGATTTACTTTATGTACTACACGAATTCAGTAGAGCAGTCCTTTTCCCTGGATTTGAGTGACCTATGTCACACCAATGTCCTCCGTTTTACGGGAAATGTCGTCTACACAGCCAATGGTAGCTAGTTAAAAGCCGTAATGACGTCATCATTTATGGGACAGTCTGCATAATTAAGGAGATGGGTTTCGGGTACAAAATGAGACCGGCCCAAGCACATACAAACAGTCTTTCTAAGCTACTAATTTCTTTGGAGACGACATTTTCCGTACATTGGAGTGCCATAGGTCACGATCTGTAACCATGCCCAACTCCCAAATTATTCTCTAAGTTTAGTCTAATGATAGGTACATCCTGTCGTATGGACTGACCCAAATCAATATAGCATATGCTAAATAGATAACAGGTTCAGGAAAGTAGACTGCTCTACTGAATTTGTACCAGAATTTGGAGCTCCGCATCAAGAGTCAACACCCTTACTGTACAACCTGAGGCCGAATTAAAAGAATTTTAACCGCCTCGCTGAACAGCCAAAAACCGGTTTCAATTGAGCGGCGAGCGCCGGCTAAAATCTCAAAACACAAAATACAATTTCAAGTGGAACCAGCAATGTTTCAGCCACATATTGAATTTGAGACGCGGCTCAAATTTAAAAAATTCGGCTTCTGACCTGAAAAGTTAAGATGAGGTCCGGGAAATCCATCTCTAGTGTTTGTATAGGGAGATGTAGCACAATCTCCTCTACCAGTCTTAAATACTAATCCTGTAAGAAATAAGATTTTTTAGCGTCCTATTGCAGTGTTATGATAATTAGTTTAAAGGACCTACTCTATTTTTTATATCTTCGCAACCCGATGTCGTAGACCTTTTATATTTTAAACTATGAATTCTGTTAGATTAAATAGTCATATTTTAAAATTCTAAAAGGTTTTCAGTATCAGGTTGCAAAGATTTCGATTTAGAGTTAGAAAATTTGGGTTTGTGGAAAAAATTAGTAATTCATGTAAAAACTATTTAAAATGAGACGTCGGACAACTCCGTCTTTTTTAATGGCTCCCAGCAACTTTAAAGTATTCAGCATATCATTTAACAATTATATGCATCATAAAAAGGAAAAAACTCTCTATTCCATTACCTGGATTCGGAACTAAACATTTAGTTGAATTGCATTTAGAGTTAGCGATTTCAACGGTAGCATTCACGGCATAGATTCCAGCATAAGCCCAGAAATCAGCTCTAAAAATATTCATTAAGAAGTTTTTACAGGGCGCTTAAGACTCTGCAGTCTACGAGAAATATAACTATATACATTTTCCCAGATTTCCTTGTGTTCATTGGCGGATTTCAAAATTTGAAAAAAATCAAAATTATTTTTGGACCGTTTTTTATTTGACCGGCCGTAAACCTTGACGTTTATTTTCTAACACCTGCAAACATGTCAAAAAAAGGACAAGCCAACTATTTGCAAGATGTTCAAAAATTCCCGTTTTGCGTTGAACCTTTATCTTTTTCATAACCCACAGGCCAAAGCCTATTTTATTGTTTTAACATTACAAATAAATATATCATTTTTAATTCTAAAAGTTGTTAGTTCATCGTTAAAAAATACTATAAACAATCCACCACCAGTTTATATTAAATATAATGTAAACAATAAATATGTAACTCTCCTTTTCCTTTTTTTCTATTTTTTACATAACTTTTAGAATTGGGGGGAAATATTACCACAACCTCTACTTCTAGAGGTTTTTAAATATTTTCTCCTGAAGCAATTAATGTTGTATGTTTTTTTGTTCTATATAATAAAAAAAGACACTTCATATATGTTGCGTATAGCCGGCATAACGGCTGAACCGATTGGGCTGAAATTTTTTGTGGACACTCATGGGTGGCCGTGGGGTGCTAAAAAAAATTCAAGAATTATTTTTTTCTGAAAGCTTTTTATTTAATTTTTTTTATTTTTACTTTTTGAATTTTTTTGGTATTTTATAAATAAATAATTACTTTACTTACTTATGAAGGTTAATATCAGGGTTAAACTATAATATATGATTTAAATTAGTCAAAACTCAAAAAGAATTATTTTTCTAGAATAAAGTTGTTAGTCGTATAGTGCTCCTTTAAAGAAACTGTGTAACATAATCTCAAATGCCATGTCGGATTCACAACAGTCCCTTTAAAGATCTTGTTCTCTATCCAAAGTCCCATCAAATGCTATTTTTTTACCTGGACATAAAACGTGAGATTTGTTTTCCTTTATACAAGGTTTCCAGTTCGATTACTAAAACAAATATTCAAGTTTAGGCATTGTATGTCTAGGGCTAGGCAACGTTCCGTTGGCGAAAAACAGTTTAAAAAAGACATTAAAAAACGGAAAATACCGTTAACTAAACGAACGTTCTGGGACTTTAAAACTCACGGCTACCTGATTTTTTTATTAATGGTTGGAACCAACCGTTAGCGAAACGGCTAGAAAAAGTTCAAACGTGCCCAGTCTAGTGGAAACGTTCCGTTGACAAAAATCAGTTTTTCAAAAATTTCTGGAATATTCTAAAGTATGAAAGAAATGTTATAATTTCCAGTTTGTTAGCAAACGAAAATAACGTTAAATGAAACAAACGAACGGAAGATAAAAAAAAATACTTCTAATAAAAAAATTAAGTATTTTAATTTGACCTAATTCCAAAAAAAACTTTCAAAGTCTTAGAGAGATAGAGGTACAATTCTTGTTAACTCACTTAGCAGTTCCGTTAACGTTAAAACCAGTTAATACATTTTACAAAAATACATTCCGTTAAGGCTTTAAACAATGAAATTGTTAACGAACCAGTATGGAAACAGTAAAAGATGCATTGACCAGTTCTGTTCTAAGGCCAAACAAACACCATCTGTTTTTTGTTTATTTATAAAGGATTGAATATAATTAAAAACATACTTAGATCTCCTAGTCCTGCATTATCCCTGTCCTCTATGTTGAGACAGCCATTGCATCCTCCAACACAGTCATGGAAGGATAACCTGCGGTCAAAACTTTTAAATGAAACAGCGCTAATCTTCCATGCTTGATCCAGATATCCACTGTTTTGATTGTTTACAAGCTTTTTTCGTATTACAAGTTGACAAGTTTTCTAAGAGAAGCTTTTTTTAAATTGACAGCTTCTCTTGACTTCTATGTGTATCCATGCTGTTTAACAGCCTGATATAAGTAAAAACTCAAATAGAAACTCGTCTTCATTGTACTGATATAATCGCCTACCACTACTGTTACACCTGGTACGACCATCACGGGATATTAAAGAGAAATTAATTTGATCTGAGTTTTAAACTTTTGAGTGACTATTGATCTCGAAATCCAATGTGAGCACTTTTAATTTGAGGTTCAGTTTTTCCTACGGGAAACGATTACCATGATATACCATGATATTTACTAATCCGTGGATATGCAGAAGATGCTTAGCCACAAGATACACAACACTTAAATTCCGATCTCTGTATGGACTGCACAAGGTTACAGGATATAGATAATTGACATTTAAGCAAACATTTTTAATTTATCTGATATCCAGGAAAGAGACAAAAATGCAACCAATCAGATGTCGATTGCAGAAACCTAACAGCCATTCAGAAGCCGGGAAATTTGCACGACATCAATAAGAGAACTCCAATTTGTCGGACTAAGCGATCGGGGTTAAGGGTAATCCACACAAAAATTCCCGCTGAGATTAAACCAATTCCTTTTAAATATTTATTGATCCACGCTAAAAGTTAGAGAAGGGGAAACTAAATTTAAAATGTTACCTTACAGCCGAGGCCAAATTATCTTCCTTTACAACTGTTTTAACCAACTCTTTCATGTTTTTAAGATCTTCAAATGTTACTCTGAGAACTGCTTGTTGCTTGGGAGAATCAGTTTTCAACTTTACTACTGTACCATTACTAGCTTCAGCAGTGTTATTCCCGACTGTCCCACTTCTAACAGCAGCGTCAGTTGTTCTAGCTGTTACAACATCATTTCTAGCAGTTGCCGCAACCTCCATAGATCTCACGATATCAACATCACGCCCAGACACTGCAGCAACGACACTGAAATTAAAATTTTAATTTTGAACCGGAAAAAATTTAATCTACAAGGACATTTTTTTCTCACCATTTTACCAGATACCGCGATTAAAAAAATTGGGGATTTAAGACTCAGGTCTAAGCTATCTTTGAGACTAATTTAAGGCTCAAGCTTAGCGATCTAAGTTGCAAGTAAATTTTCCACGGAGTTTGATGTATTAAACCGGTTTAGTATCGTATTCTCATGGTTTAAATTGGCGGATTCCAGAAATTGATTTGAATAAGACTCAACATTGAGACTAATTCTCCACTAAAACCAACCAAGGTCGGTTTCATTTTATTAGGCCTAAACTCCGTAAATCAAGCTGAAGATCTTGCAGCTGCCCATCACGTGACACAAGCTGGCGTCAGAGTTGGGTCTAAAGATTGAGCCTTAAAAAAATTGAAGTGGGTTAAAAACCCACTGTTTTTATAAATTCTTACTTCTTTGACCAGATGAAATGAATAGCAAGTAGTTGAACTGCAGTTGGATATGGTTGAACTACGTTTGGTACCCGGTAAAAGTTGATGAGAAGCAAGGAACTATATACAGGAACGCCCAACTCAGATATACGCATATTATGTACTGCACTCTGTGGGAGGAATGTAAACAAACCCAATGCCCCCACAGAAGTTTAAGGGATATGTGATATTAGAGTCCATCAAAAAACAAGTTAATATATCAAGTTAGAGCGATTTTTGGCTTTCTGGTCAATATGGAAAATACAATAGCAATATATTCTTATTCCACCCCTTGGGCCCTTTTCCCTCAAAAATGATGCGTTGCCCTTGAATTCTTTGTTTTGATCTCCTCCCACTGCAGTACACAGATTCGACGCATGAGATATGGCGGTTCCTGGTCGACGTTCAGAATCGCTTTTGGGTGAATACGTTTTTAAGAGTTTTTTCTTCAAATTATTAAATAATGACGATAAAAAATGTTAACAAAATTCTACAGTAAACTATTTATTTGTTCAGGAACAGGTTGAGAAAATAAAATTTAAGCTTATCATCAAAAATAAGTAATCTTATTAAATTATTAGTTTCTGTAATCTCTCAATTATTCACAAAATTGGTCTGCAGGTTCTGGAATTTTCATTGAAAAGACGACATTTGCAGAATTTGTAGAAATCTGCGAATAAATTCATAGAAAATAAGAAATTCAATATAATGATGGAAATAAAATAATTGTTTCATAGGATTGATTTTAAAGTTGTCTTGTGGCGGAAGACGATCTGAGGAGAGAAGCCGGATACTCAGACGCGGCAAGAAGATCTAGAGAATTCTGCCACGTCACCTTGATATTTTTGATCTCTTAAATTTAGTTTTGAAATTTAGTTAGTTAATAAAGTAAATTATTTAACCTCGGTTATATTAAATTGAGCGTAGCCAAANAATATTTTTTTTATTGTTTTCGTTGAGGTCTCCACACAACGGTACCGATCATTATTTATAAACAATTCCCGGTTTTAAGTATGTTTACAATTTTATAAGCCAAGGACCATATTCGGGGATAAAGGGGGGGTGGCGGCAGGACCTTCGCACTCCCCTGACAGATTTTAGGGGGGCTAGAGCCTAGGCCCCCCCCCGGAGATTTCAGAATAGCTTCTCAATAGCAATTAAGGAAAAAACATAGTGCAAAACAGGAAAGTCAAAAAAAAATTTCGCCTCAGCGCGTCTTTTAAGGTTCCTAAATCTGGATTTTTTTGTTCCGAAATATATCTAGCAAGTCTTAGCTCCGCCTTGACTCCGCCTTGCCTTCTTGGGGGGAGTACTGTGGCGGAAGACGATCTGAGGAGAGAAGCCGGATACTCAGACGCGGCAAGAAGATCTAGAGAATTCTGCCACGTCACCTTGATATTTTTGATCTCTTAAATTTAGTTTTGAAATTTAGTTAGTTAATAAAGTAAATTATTTAACCTCGGTTATATTAAATTGAGCGTAGCCAAAGTCTATTACATAGTCGTAGACCTTAAACATTTCAAACATAGTTTATTTTTTTCACAGTTTAAAATATCTAAGGTCTACAACTTTGGGTTACAAAGATATAGGGACTAGAAAATCAGGGTTTGTGGCAAAGACTAAACTCCTTTAGGTAAGGGTTAGTGTCACTTCATATACAGAGTGTCCCACGAAACATGACAATTTTGGAATAGTTTTATGTCTTCTTTTATATACTGTATTATAAATTAAAAACTTTTTGCAACATATTTTGATTAAAAAATCTTTTACTAAAATAAATTTTATTTCGAAATCAATTATACCCTAATATGACTGCCATATAATATTTTTTATCATTCATTTCGGTATCAAACAACTTAATACATTATGGAAGAAGACTTTTTAAACTATTTACCAACTGTAATGTTTCGTGGGACACCCTGTACGTGTTTTCATCTAAGTATTTTTAACCTGAAAATAAGTAGAACTGTCAACTCTGGAGTATTAATATAGATGTTCTTCATGGTCCAAGTTCTGGCGAAAGAAGAAGAAGAAGAAGAAGAAGAAGAAGAAGAAGAAGAAGAAGAAGAAGAAGAAGAAGAAGAAGAAGATTCGTTGCACCTCTGAATGCAGAATAACTGACTGAAGATCCGCCTGAGGCTGGGGTTCAATGTTTGTCCAACCAAGGTCAAATAATTCTGAATAATAACATTGATATATTACGTTTATATTGTACAATGATGTAAAAGTGCGTGCTTCTACATATAAAGTTGTAATTTGTCTGTCTGTTTATCTGTTTGTTTGTTTGTTCGATCATAACACAGGAACCCTGATCCGATTTGCCTCAAATTTTGATTGGGGAACTCCGAAGACCCAAGGAAATATTCTTAGCTTAGTTTAAGATTCAAAGTTGAGTGTGTCAACTTTAACTGCGAAAATTTAGTTTCCCGGTAAAATCGTTCAAGTGCGGATAAACGGCGGGAGTAATTTTTAGTAACCTTTGAAGCGCTGGGTTCCCGAGCTAGTATTGTATAATGGTAAAATAGTACGTGTATATTCAATATTGCATAATGATATAAAAGTACGTGTATGATCCTTTTAAGTCGTCTATGATGCTTTGAGGTCATTTATGATGCTTTGAGGTCATTTATGAGGCTTTTAAATCGTCTATATGAGTTTTTAAGTCGTCTATGCTGCTTTTAAGTTGCCTATTGTTCTTATAAGATGCCTTTGGTGCTTTTAAGTCGTCGATGGGCTTTTAAGTCGTCTATGATGCTTTTAAGTTGCCTGTGGTGCTTTTAAGTTGCCTGTGGTGCTTTTAAGTTGTCTATGGTGCTTTTAAGTCGTCTATGGTGCTTTTAAGTCGTCTATGGTGCTTTTAAGTCGTCTATGGTGCTTTTAAGTCGTCTTGTAGTGAATGCCCTACTCCAGAACCATTTCCCGAAAGTATCTATCCAGGTACAACTCAGATTCTCTTGACAATCAATGTCAACCCACGGCTGTAATCCCGGGGAACTATCAACGCCAGCACGGCTGGGCATGGTCTCGTCAGCTATTTATGATGATCCTAATATTTTTTTTATTGTTTTCGTTGAGGTCTCCACACAACGGTACCGATCATTATTTATAAACAATTCCCGGTTTTAAGTATGTTTACAATTTTATAAGCCAAGGACCATATTCGGGGATAAAGGGGGGGTGGCGGCAGGACCTTCGCACTCCCCTGACAGATTTTAGGGGGGCTAGAGCCTAGGCCCCCCCCCGGAGATTTCAGAATAGCTTCTCAATAGCAATTAAGGAAAAAACATAGTGCAAAACAGGAAAGTCAAAAAAAAATTTCGCCTCAGCGCGTCTTTTAAGGTTCCTAAATCTGGATTTTTTTGTTCCGAAATATATCTAGCACCTTCCTCACTTAAATCCTGCCCCTGACCATATTCTTTAAAAAATGCAAAAATCCAGACTTTTTCAAATATTCAAATTAAGACGACATTCTCAATTACATTCTTTTGAATAGTTAGCTTGGTATATGGAGAAGCAGATATTCAGATACGTATTTACAGATAAACCCATAAAAACAAAAGCAAATAACTAACAGCTAAACATATAAACAGATAATCAGATAAACAGCTAAACAGATAATTAAATAAGCAGAAAAAGTAAGGTAAACAGATAAACAGATAATTAGATAAAAAGATAAACAGATGAGGAGATAATCAGATAAGCAATAAACAAATAAACAGATGAATAAATAATGAGGTGAACAGAAAACCAGATAATCAGATAATCAGATAAACAAATAAACAAATAAAAAGAGATAAAGGGGTAAACAGATAAACAGAGAAGCGGAGAAACAGATAAACAGACAAACAGAAAAAGAGGTAAAAAGATAAACATACAGTTAGATGAAAAGATAAACAGATAAACAGATAAACAGATAAGGAGGTAAACAGATAAACAGATAAACATATAAACAGAAAAAAATTTAAACAGATGAAGATATAAACTGATCACATCTTAACATCTTAACATATAAAGATATATAGAGATAAATGAAAGTCGTCTTTGATTTCTGATATTCAAGGCTTGGCAAAGAAAGTATAGAAATGAGGTTAATCAGTGGTCTTCCTTTCCTGTGTCTTAAAATTGACAAAGATATTAGATATTCATTTTTGCAAATTTTGAAATATCTCCATCAAATTTGAAGATACAAAAATGGTAGACCACACTTTGAAAATCTCAAGACCAGGCGTTTTCGATAAAAGATGTTTAAACTGGAATACTGCAATAACTGTGTTCATGAACAAATACCACATGGTTAGAAGACGATATAGAAGTCGTCATGTTTATTGGGACACCCTGAACATCAAACAATTAAATTTTTGACGAAATAAACCTACATTACAAGAGAGGGGTATACCCATGACGCAATTTACAATGGTATTTCTGAAACCTTTTGTCGGGGCAAAAATTATATATCATAGGATTGATATTGTTGTATTTTGGTGGATCTAAAAAAGAAGATGCCAGATACAAATGATGATATCCACCAAAAATAACGCCGACACTCGTCAGCTCTTTGAATTTTATTTTTCATGCAACATGCATATTCCCAAAAATTCAAAAGAATTAAAAATGATATTAAAGTTTATATTAAAAACATTATTTAATTTCTCACATTATTTACATAAACAGCAGATTCTTGGAAATGATAATAAACAATAAACAAAATCCATATTTATATTTATTTTCTGCTGAATTTTTCTCAATTTTTATCAAATATAGATAAAAATGATCAAATTTTATCTCTTAATTTAGCTGTTTACTCTTTACACTATAAAGGCCCCGAACACTGGACAGCAGAGCGTAAATTTGGGGAAACACAAAAAAATTTGAAGAAACGATTTTTTCGAGGAAATTAGCTAACTTAGGGTTTTACCCGATCTGCTTTTGCAAAATGATGAGTTAAACAAATATTTTGGAGGCCCAGTGCACAAAATGCCCTCATTCCCCAAAAATGTGAAAAATATATCCGTTCTCAAGATAAGGCTACGACTTTGCGACCCAAAACTGTCTTTTCAAGCACGAGAAAAATACATTCGTTCACATGGCTTATTCAATGTTTGCCGAAGAACGCTGCAAGTTAACAGTTGCAGGTAGTTATGTAAACATGGAAACAGTATTCCGGAATGTCGTCTCTGAAGTTCCATTCTTTGTGGGTAGCCCTGTATGTATATATATTAATGTTTATTCAGAGATTCAGAGAAATCACAGATATAAGAATGATACAGCAAATCGTATAGTTCAGAAAATATATTTAGATTGGGAGAAGGGGAGAAGGAAGTAGGAGGAGAGGAAGGTGGGAGGAGGAGGGGAGAAGGAAGGATGAGGAGGGGAGAAGGTGGGAGGGAAAATAGGAGAAGGAAGGAGGAGGAGGGGAGAAGGAACGAGGAGGAGGGGAGAAGGAAGGAGGATGACGGGGAGAAGATGGGAGGGAAAATAGAAGAAGGAAGGAGGAGGAGGGGAGAAGGAACGAGGAGGAGGGGAGAAGGAAGGAGAAGGAGTGGAGAAGGTGGGAGGGAAAATAGGAGAAGGAAGGATGAGGAGTGGAGAAGGCGGGAGGGAAAAAAGGAGAAGGAAGGAGGAGGAGGGGAGTAGGTGGGAGGTAAAATAGGAGAAGGAAGGAGCATGAAGGGGAGGGGAATGAAGAGTGAGGGGCTGAATGGGGTGATTATGAGGAACGGGAGTGGGGGGAGGTTCAGATAAATGAGGCTATGCATGGAGGGAGCGAAAACCCCTACCTCTCTTCCATAATATTATAAGTGCATATTTAATCTTCCTCATATTTCAAAAAGAAATTCGAGTTATTATTGTGTTGTGGTCTTGTTTTAAGGAACTAAAAAAGAATTTAAAAAAAGAAGAAAAAAATATTTTCCATTTAATGTTTTGGACATCAAACAACTGAGATTTTAACACTAAGGTAAAAATATGGAAACCCTTTTTGATAAAAAGGTTTCCATATTTTTTAGTTATCCTTTGATACAGTTTAAAAAAGATTTGAGTTTTTTTTTATAAATTTTAAAACTTAATGGGATTTTTTTTTTGCATAAATAAAATCACTAATGAAAGCCAGAAAAATCGCCGAATTAAATTAAGATTGGGATCAAAAAAGTCGTCTTGAAACACTAAGCTCAGAAACGATAGAATCGTAAAAATCATTTTAAAATCAAATAAAATATTAGCAAAAACGCGATTTTCTGGAAAAATATATTTGTCAAAGTAGAAAAAATGGAGATATTTAGCGGTCCAAGATACACATCTTTTGATGTCCATATCAGCATGTTTTGGAAAACATTTAGAAAGTTTGCTTTTGTAGTTATGATCCATGTTTTTTTTTTAAATCGTTAAATTTAGAGTTTCGATTTTATTTCACACGAACCCCCCCCCCCCCATTAGATCAATTTAAAAATGAAATATGTTCTATATTTATAGGAATATGTCGACTATACATTGTTACAACGCAAAGTGCAATAAACCATTTTGTTATTCTTGCAAAAAATGAATATAGAACTTTGTAGATTTTTGTGCATGCTTAATCTTATTCTGTTAAACGTACTAAACTTAAAACTAAAAAATCAATTATTTTGTTATGCTGCACCTCGGTCTCTCTAAATTTAACTAGTAATCCCTGACTTATTTTAAACTTTCAAAACCTAGTAATATTCATCATACTGTAAATGTCTTAATATTAATTAGGTGGGGATAATACCCAAAACAGCAAATAACTAATCTCCACCTAATTACTATAATTACATAAATAAAGTAAACAATATAAAAATAGTTGCAGATTTTTTGCCTGTAACATCATAACTTGTATGTGTATTTTTAGCAATAAACTATATCTTATCTACAACGCCTTAGCCTTTAAGTTTACCTCAATAATTAACTTTTTTGTATTCCTAGAAATGATTTTATTACTGAAAAGTACTTGCAGAAGTGCAAACTTGCACTTGGTATTTTGCATAATAATTATTTTTTTTCC